ATGCAACCCGCATCTACCAACCTAGAAAGCAAGACTGTCAGCACTTTGAGTAACCAAAACAAACTACTCAATGCACTAAGAACAAAGGCAAAGAAATTCTCTGTTGGCCATCTGTTTCTGAAATAACTTAATTCAAAACACAGTCCCGTAACAACAGGGAAAAGGACACCATCGGCTTCGAGATAATCTTCAGTCTCCGATTACACTCGGGCTGGAATGGCGCACGACGTCCCGTGACTAAGCATGAGGAGACGCTTTCCCTCCAAACCCAGGAGCCAGCTGCGGTTAACTTCCACGCCACTGCACAAGCCTGCAACTGAGCGACCAGCACACACCGCTGCCTCCCTGGGTCGGTTCTGTTCCAACAAACAGTAAACAGCTTGTGCTACCGGCTCAATTCTTAATTCGGCTCTATATTAAACTTCTACTTCATATCAAAGAAGTAGGAAGCTTAAAAGAGACAGGGGTTATGCTGGCTGGAAGCCCAGCACAGACAAAGGCCCAGGTCTAGACAACGCGGGATGTGTTTGCACCACAAACAGTTGGTTGGGTGAACACTAGAACAGTGGCCGGGAGTGTGAGAACGTCAGCAGACAAAGGGGAGCCACTGGGTATTCTGAGCAAAGCCTTTTCATTGAAGTTACCCTGCAGAAACATCAGCCTGGCAGAGTGGAAGGAAGCGTTAAACAGGGCCCTGTCGTAGGCACAGACACAGGGCAGCGGGGCAAGGAGCATGGCCAGGACGGCTGTGCAGGAGAGGGCAGAAGTTCCAAGCAAGAGACCACACCAGGGTGAGACCGAGCAGTTGGTGAGGTGGATGGGGCACGAGAGGAAAAAGGCCAAGGTGACTTGGACTCAGTTTCAGCTGCCCACTAGACAGCTCTAGCTGAGTGTCTAACAGGCCCCTAAAACCCTAACTCCCACCCGCCTGCACCCCCATGTCAATTACTAACACTTACTCTGAGTCGGGTCCTCCTGGTGCTGTCAGCGCTCACAGCCCTTCCTCCCACCACCACTGCTTACTTTGGGTCGGTCCTCTGGCGAGCTGCTCGGAACTGTCCCTTGCCGAGCCTGCCTGGAGGACAGGCTGTCCAGGGTACTGGAGTGCTGAGGCAGAGGAGTTCAGAGGCCAGGCCACAACCTGCTTCTCATTCACTCTGAGTTGGGTTCCTGAACCAAGGGAGCCCAGAGCACCCACGGACATGCCTTTGAGTGGCATCTATTATGCTTCCTGAGTGGCGCTGAAGCCCCAGGTACAAAGAGAGGTGGTACCTCCAGCAGAACAATCACCACCTTGTGCACACAGCGTCACTAGAACTGTGACCTCCACCCCGTGCATCTCAACCTTGGAGCCAGGGCCAAGGAAGTTGTGCTGAGAAATGCTTGACTGAGCAGCCCTCATCAGAGAGGCGGGCTCCTAGCTTCGGCAATCAGTCAGGACTGTGGTCTCTTCTTACGAGCCATGACTCCCTAAACTCCACAGCCCCCTCTGGTCCCCCCCCCATCTGGAGTTTTCTAACAGTCATATCTGATCTCTCCATGTCTGTACATCTCAGGCTCACCTAAAGGAAGAAAGTAAACCACCCTACCATGTCATCCCATTCTTAAAACCCTTAGGTGGTTCCTAAGGGGCTTCAGAAATCCAGAGCCCTCAGATGACATGAGTCCCCATCTCCAGCTGCTGCTTGGCCTGCTGGCATCACCCTTCCCCACACCCAGCTGATGCTCCAGCCGCCCAAGGAGCTCTCTGATTGCCGTGCCTCTGCAAAGGTGATTTCCCTAACTCCTTCATCCCCCAGGCCCCCTTTCTCATCTTCCCTCGGCTCTATATTAAACTTCTACTTCATATCAAAGAAGTAGGAAGCTTAAAAGAGACAGGGGTTATGCTGGCTGGAAGCCCAGCACAGACAAAGGCCCAGGTCTAGACAACGCGGGATGTGTTTGCACCACAAACAGTTGGTTGGGTGAACACTAGAACAGTGGCCGGGAGTGTGAGAACGTCAGCAGACAAAGGGGAGCCACTGGGTATTCTGAGCAAAGCCTTTTCATTGAAGTTACCCTGCAGAAACATCAGCCTGGCAGAGTGGAAGGAAGCGTTAAACAGGGCCCTGTCGTAGGCACAGACACAGGGCAGCGGGGCAAGGAGCATGGCCAGGACGGCTGTGCAGGAGAGGGCAGAAGTTCCAAGCAAGAGACCACACCAGGGTGAGACCGAGCAGTTGGTGAGGTGGATGGGGCACGAGAGGAAAAAGGCCAAGGTGACTTGGACTCAGTTTCAGCTGCCCACTAGACAGCTCTAGCTGAGTGTCTAACAGGCCCCTAAAACCCTAACTCCCACCCGCCTGCACCCCCATGTCAATTACTAACACTTACTCTGAGTCGGGTCCTCCTGGTGCTGTCAGCGCTCACAGCCCTTCCTCCCACCACCACTGCTTACTTTGGGTCGGTCCTCTGGCGAGCTGCTCGGAACTGTCCCTTGCCGAGCCTGCCTGGAGGACAGGCTGTCCAGGGTACTGGAGTGCTGAGGCAGAGGAGTTCAGAGGCCAGGCCACAACCTGCTTCTCATTCACTCTGAGTTGGGTTCCTGAACCAAGGGAGCCCAGAGCACCCACGGACATGCCTTTGAGTGGCATCTATTATGCTTCCTGAGTGGCGCTGAAGCCCCAGGTACAAAGAGAGGTGGTACCTCCAGCAGAACAATCACCACCTTGTGCACACAGCGTCACTAGAACTGTGACCTCCACCCCGTGCATCTCAACCTTGGAGCCAGGGCCAAGGAAGTTGTGCTGAGAAATGCTTGACTGAGCAGCCCTCATCAGAGAGGCGGGCTCCTAGCTTCGGCAATCAGTCAGGACTGTGGTCTCTTCTTACGAGCCATGACTCCCTAAACTCCACAGCCCCCTCTGGTCCCTCCAATCCATCTAGGGTTTTCTTTTCTCTTTTTGAGAGAGATTTTTGCTATAGGGAGCATGAGCTCACTGGAGAGACACAGAGAGAGAAAAAGCAATAAATCACCTCCCAAGGGGAATAGCCATGCCGCAATCCCTTCTCCTCCATTCTCCTCTTGGGATTTTGGGCACGCATGCACATATGGTTTAAGCCACTGGGTCCAGGACTTAAACTAAAGTTGGCTACATAGGAGCCCAGCAACGTGATCATTATGCTGGGATCTTGGACACGCAAACGTGCCCGGCGTGAGTTTAAGCCACCGGATCTGGGATTAGAACCTCAGTTGACTACATGAGAGTCCAATGACATAGCCATTATGCTAACTGCTGGTCCCCCCCCCCACATCTGGAGTTTTCTAACAGGCATATCTGATCTCTCCATGTCTGTACATCTCAGGCTCACCTAAAGGAAGAAAGTAAACCACCCTACCATGTCATCCCATTCTTAAAACCCTTAGGTGGTTCCTAAGGGGCTTCAGAAATCCAGAGCCCTCAGATGACATGAGTCCCCATCTCCAGCTGCTGCTTGGCCTGCTGGCATCACCCTTCCCCACACCCAGCTGATGCTCCAGCCGCCCAAGGAGCTCTCTGATTGCCGTGCCTCTGCAAAGGTGATTTCCCTAACTCCTTCATCCCCCAGGCCCCCTTTCTCATCTTCCCAGAACCCTACCCTGCACTTTTCTCATAAAACTTAAGCTGTATTCTGGGTTTACTCCTCTGCCTCCCCTGCTAGACTGTGAGCTACTTGAAGGGAGCGTTCTATCACTGTCCCCCATGTCCAGCCCAAAGCCTAATGGGCTCTTCATTCTTAAGTCACACAAATACTTAGACCACATATCTGAGTGCAGGACATGCAGCAGGACCCCTGCTCGTGAGCCTTCCAGTCGGGAAGAAGAAACAGTAATTCCACACTGAGAAGACTGCGAAGGGCGTGTGCAAGGTGCTGTGAGGGAGAATGGCGGACAGGGAGGTCGGGAACGGATGAGAACAGAGAGTGGAAAGTTGTCTGTACAGCAGGGATGGCGTGTGCAAAGGCCTGGAGTGGGAAAGATCTTGGCAGAAGAGCCTGGGTGGCCAGCCAGGGGGGTCTGGAAGGCAAAAAGCCAACGCAGGGTGGACGGGCATGGGCTTTTAGCGCTCAAGAAAGCAATCTGGGCCAATGACACAAACTGGGGATTATCTACAGATGATAAATGAGGTTGAATGACACTATCATGCAAGGGACAGGAAAAGAGTTGGACTTCCAAACCCAACAGTGGTACCTTCATTTAAGGACATTCTGCCAGTCAGGAAGGGCCATCTTTAGCAATCACACTGCTGCAGTCTGAATGTGGTTTTCCCACCAAAATTCCTGTGTGGAAACTTAATCCCCAGGTGATGGTACTAACAGGTAGGGCCCTTAGGACTCTGTCCTTGTGAATGAGAATTAACATCCCGACATAAAAGGCCCCGAGAGCTGCCTGGCCCTTTCTGCCATGTGAGCACCCACAAAAGGCACTGTCTCCGAGGAACATGCCCTCGAGGTGGGTGAAAAGGCACTGTCTCCGAGGAACATGCCCTCGCGGTGGGTGCCTTGACCCTGGACTTCACAGCCTCCAGAACTATGAGCAATACCCTCTGTGGTGTATATAGTACCCAGAGTAAGGTATGTGGTGTATATAGTACCCAGAGTAAGGTATGTGGTTCAAGTAGCCCCCAAAGACTAGGACACATACCAAACTGCATGCAATTTACATATACTTACTCCATCCGACTTAGTCAAAAACACAAATCATTCTCATCCTTACTTAATTTTTTTCCATTCACTGGTAATTGTTCCCAAACCCCCTCTTCTGCCTGCCTAGTGATATGAAGAGACTGCTGATTAGCAATTATCCACAGCATTAACTCTCTAAGCACCTACAACTATGACTTGGTTTATTTGAGGGTTCCTCAGGACTCCAATGTAAATACTAATTTGCCAAGAACCTAATCAAATCAAATGTACAGATAAGCCAAACATAATTCTCTAAAACTTGAAGGTAGGACCAGGGCTGGCCAAACTGGGGTGGGTCATGGCATCAAGACCCTGCAGGGGGGTACTGTCTGTGTCCTTCTCACCCATGGAAGAAAGAAAGAAACTTTTTAAAAAGTAAGAATTATTAGATTCCAGCAAGAACACGTTTCTGGTGGTCCTTTGAACTTCTAGTTGCATCTGCAGGAAGTGCCTAATTTCTGGCTGACCCACTTTGAATGGTATTGAAGTGTACCAGGAGTTGGGTGCTGACATCCAGCATCACCCATCACAAAGCTCCTCGAGCTCTCACCCAACGGTTAAGCCGTCCCTGACAAACACTGCTTACACCCGTCATTTCAGGAGGTGTTGTTTTCTATAGGGTGTACGTGCTCGTCAGAGAGAAAATGAGAAAGAGAGTGTGAGAAATCACTCCCCCCACCTCGAGTTGATGGCCATACGTCAATCTCTTCTCCCCTATCCTCCTCTTGGGATTTGGGGCCAACATGTACATGCGCTCAGCATTTTTCTCAAGACACTGGGCCCTGGACTCGAACTGCCAGTGGGATCCAGCCAGCTCAACCACCATGCCACATGTTGACTCCGGGGTTGGATTATTTTAAGCCTGTATATTAATTAAAGACAATTCAACGCCCAATGATATAATTATAGAAAGCATAATCATTATTTGGTATCTGAAACAATAATATAATTGTGTGTGTTTTAAACATTTTATAAGTTGCCTGGCTAGGAATTCAATACGAAGAGGCTTGTTTCTGAACTATTCTTTAAAAAGATTACAGATAAATCGCAGACTCTGAGAACATGTTAGAGTAAAGCCCTCTTTCTCTCTCTGAAGTTCCAAGTTCCAAAAACGTAGTGAAATACAAACTAGAGTAGATCTTGGAAATTATGACGGTATGAAGAAAGTAAAAAAGAGGAAATAGAAATGTCAATGTAGTTCTAAAGCAGTACATTTATTTCAGTCCCTCTCCAAAGAACTGATTACTGAAATACTAAAGTAACCTCAGGACACAATGGTTCAACAGCTTCAATTTCCCCTTCTTCCAAAGCCTTGCAACTAGTTTCTAGAAAACAGCAAAAAACAAGCTGAAAACATTTCTTCCCTATCCCACGCTCTGAGAAGTGTTAATAAACAGTATTATACCTGTGTAAACAGAAGCAAGAAGCCCCATTCCCTTCTAAAACAGAGCCCACGTAATGCGTCCCACATAATGACCCTGCGAAATCCTCTGCTAGTCGTAGCCAAATCCCAGGCACCTACCCTTCCCCGGGGTTATGGCACCTCCAGTGCTAAGGTAATCAGTGCCCAGCTGAACTGCCCAGCCTGGTGCAAGGAGAAGGTGTTGAGGGGAAGGAGGAGACCCGCCAGCAAGGCTTCAGGAATCCCTATGACGAGAGAGCCTGAAGCCCAGAAATATAAATCAGGAAACGTTGAAAATGTTGCAGTCAATGCCACTGAGTTGTACACTTAACAATGATTCAAATCGTAATAAGCTTTATGTTACATTTTATCATGTTAAAAAAAAAATGCCATGGCCAGCCCGTGGCATGGTGGTTAAACAGACTAGAGACTGGAACCCATATGGCTGACTTCATGGTTCAAGTCACAGACCCCGCAGCTTGGTGCATCTGTGTGTGTGCCCGAAACCTTAAGAGGAGAATGAAGGGGAAGGAAATGCAGCATGGCCGTTCTCCTGGGTGGAAGCGATTTCTCACTTTCCCTCTCTCTTGTCTCTCTCCAGCAAGTACACATGTCCTACAGTGAAAACTTAAAAAAAAAAAAAAAAAAAAGGAGGGCAAAATACAAATAGTTCATGGCAATGCCTTTTATGAAAACAAAACAAAACTATTCATGGATTTCAAAATGTTTTGCACCAAAATAAATCTGTACTTTAATTTCATGTTTCCATGAACTTTTTGACGTTCCATGGGTTCAAATACTGAAACTCCTAGGTGCAAATTACACATCCTTATTCCAACTGAATTTGAGTAAGCAATTGATTGCATTTCTTTTTTTAAAAATTAATTTATTTAATTCCATTTGTTCTTATTATTTTATTTTGACCAGAGAGAGAGAGAGAGAGAAAAAAAAAGGGAAAGTGAGAAAGCAAGCCACCAGGTTTGGGACTTGAACTGCAGTCAGCCACGTGGGAATCTAGCACCTTTTACCACCATGCCATCTGCCAGCCCCAGTG